AATAGGGAGCCTGAAAATCAGATCTATTCGGCTTGCGCAGGTAGGCAGCTTTCCAGCCCATATATGTTTTGATTCAACTCATGCTAATTTAGAATATCGGAAGATTCCAGATAATAATGCTCAAATTAGAACTCTCAACAACCCGGGAAATCAAATTCCAGACGAATGCAAACAGAAAATGATCAAAGATCGCAAGAAGTGTAGCTCCTGACATCACGGAAAAGACAAGGGGATAGCTTCAACGACGAAATGAAAATGGGGGAAGAAAAGGTAAGGTCACAAATAGAGTGAAACCAAGTCAGATTGTAAAGGCATAATGATAAATGATAGTAGGGTCGACCCCGCCCTCCGAACCGGACGTGAAGGCTCATCTGACTGCTCTTGATAAAATCATTACGTCATTCCCGTCACTACGGATTGATTGTCCCTAGACCAATACTTGGAATGGATGGCTACATCAGTCTATTCTCCAACTTTTCTCACAAGCAAGACCTATAGAATGAGCTTAGATTCATCCATACCGTTTCCAACCTACCTCGCTTGGTGCATTAGTGGAATGCTTTCTGACTGTGGGATGATAAGAAAACTTCCGTCCTCGTATGAAGGAATTCCAAGAGTATAGAGTTGATGAAATATGAATAGCTAAGATTAACTAATGCCTTTTCTTTCTATTTCTTTTTAGCAGATGTAGGCGACAGACAAAAAAGGGAGCTTGGTTGATGTGGAATAATCAATCCTTCGGTCTAGTGAGCATATATGCCTCCTTCGCCTACGGCTTCTAGCCTTTTTAGCTTCGCTACCCCTGCCCTGTGGTCCATCAAGAGAAAGAAAGAAAGAAAGGGTTGGCCCATAGGTGAAGCAAAGAAAGAAGATAACCTTACCCAGTTGTGCGTTAAGCAATTACCATTCCATAGCGGATTATAAAGAAAGAAGATGGATTCCCCTCCCAAAGATCAGTCGGCTATCCTGTTTTCGTCCCGGGTTGACAAATGCAAATCAAATCCTTTGGTACACAGCTGTTAAAAAAAACCTCCCTTTGGACAGAAGAACAGGAAAGACGAATCCGATTCTGTTCTATCCATAAAGTTCTACTACCTTTGATACGTGGGCGAGAAAGTCAGATGCTTGCTTCTTTCTGTTGGCTCTGGGGCTCTTAGGGAATTCTCTTGCACTCCCGTAGGACAGCTATCTTCTTACCGAGAGAGAAAGGGGTTTAATCAATTATCTTCCTTGTAAAGAGAAAAGAACTATATATGCTCTTGCGGTAGCCTTGATCAATCGACTCTCTTACCTAAATCATCTCAATTATAGCGCTTATACACTCCAAACGAAAGAGGTTTTTACCGGGAGAGCCCGCGTACTGCACAGTACTTTAGTTGACAGTGAAAGCTATCTGAGTCAGATTTAAAATGAGTATCCCCAGTGGTTCCGTTGCAGGCGGGTGCCGATCCCCAGATGGTCTAAGTCCTTTTCTGACTTGAAAAAGAACAACAAAAAGTAGACAGGGGAAGGTTGGATGATATAAGAAAAATCACCCATGAAGCATGGAAGGGCGTTGAGCGGAAGGAATAAAGCAAACAGACGTTCACTTGAAGCCGGGGGCGGGAAGCCCATGTAGCGGTATTCACTAAAGAAAGCATTTATGAAACTGGTTCGTATCCTCGGAAATGAAACTAGTGCTCGGGGAGGGACGTAATGAAATGAATAAAGATTAGATAGAATACTAGACAAGCTATATCTATAAAAGACTCTCATAAAACATAGAAGAGATCCGATAAATGCCTACAGTGATTACCAGGCTAAAACAAGAACCATAGAGCACCGTGGCTAGGTTTCTATTCTATATCTCTCCTTTTCATTCTATTTGTGTTGTGACAAAGACTCGGGTTGTCTTAACTAGGTGCTACACCTCAAAGCATAATCCGATCTAAAATGAACTGGCTTGGCTGGCCTTGGGACAGTCAAAAGAACAAAACTAGTTACCCTACCTTCTCTGCTTTCTTCTTTCGCCCAGATTCCCCATGGGTAAGGAGCTAGAATCAATGTTTTTACATCTGATATGAAAAACCTGATCCCTTTCCTATCTTTCATTCCACGCTTTCTGTCCATGTCTGGTCACTTAAAACGCTTTCTTCTTCGATGGTACAAAGAGGTAAGAAATAGATAGGGAAAGAAGACTCAAAAAGACTCTTAGCAAGTAGTGCCTCCACGTCCTCAGGCAATGCACCACGGCTGTCATCTCTTTCTCTGTCCCGAAGAAGAGCTGCTTTTAAGCAGGTAAAGAGCTGGTAGTGAAGGTCTTCCATCAGTTTTCCTGTGGCTTGAGTTATGAGATGAAGATCAGGCTTGGCTTTGAAGGGACATATAGAAGAACGAGGCATCTACGATGCGGAGATCCAGTTGTGCTTGCTGCCTATCCACTTGGCGAGGCAGAGGCTCTGTGCAAGAGTGGAAGGTATTCCTTGTGCCTTTGGCTGCTCTTCTTATCCTTAGCCTAGCTGGTTCCTTAAGTGGTCATTCAATTCATGATTGGCTTAGTCAATCCGTTCACTTTCCTGTGGCTTTCCCTACCCCTTTTAGTTTAGTAGTGTTTTAGTCATTCCCGAACCCCCTCCTCCCTCTTCTTTTCAGTCGAGACTGATTATGAACCTTTACAGGAGAGTAAATTGTTTAGAATCAAACTTAACTGCTCTGGAACCTATTTACCGAGTTCAAGAAGGGAGAGGAGAGAATATGTGAGATCGAGTTTACAGGAGAGAAAATTAATTAGCTGCTTTACCTTTGACTCTATTCCCCGAGAAGAAAGCTTAAAATTTATGCCTTTGGGTTACTCTCGACAAATTCTTCTTTTCTTACTATTACAAATGTAACAGCTTAGAATAAGACAAGAGCTAACAGGTGACGGTCAAGGTATCTCCACATTTCCAACCGATAGGGAGAGGATTGATTGAATATGATGCGAGACTGTAAAGGAGAAGGAAGCGAACAATTTATGCCCTTGAGGTTACGAGAGACAAATGATGATTTGATTACGAGAATCTTCTTTTTCAGTTCAATCAAGTGAACGAGAGAATAGAAACAAAAGTAAGTAGCTCGACTCTAAAGGTGAAGGATAATTAATAAGAAAGAGTATTGATCTTTTTCTTTTACCGACTGTAAAGGGGAAGTAGCTCTTTTTCGGTTTCCTCTTCTTTTCTTACTGTAAAGGAGAATGAATGTTGTTTCGTCTTCTTTTCTTTGAGAAAGGTAAACTCTAACTCTAAGCTTTATTTCCTTTGATTCTAGAACTGTAAGGAAAAGGGTTGGTTTTGGTTTCTTCTTCGTCTTTTCTCTCCTGTAAAGGAAAATGAGGTGAAGGTGAAGGTTTTCGGTTCAGTCTTGAAAAGCAGCTAAGGATTGAATTCTTTTACTCTCCTGTAAAGCAGCTAATGAATGGATTCCCCCTTCAAACACTGTATAGGTTTCGGAGTGAAGGATCATTAATCTTGTTGAGTTAAGTCTTTCAAAGCAGCTAATTCATTTCTTCTTGTCTTGCTTTCGGATTGACTTCCTCTTCACAATCACTTCTTTCTAATAACTCACAATCACTAACGGGGATAGAGGTTCAGTCGCTTTACCTGATTCTCATCCTATTTCCCTTGTTCAAGAGTGAAAGCAAGCCAGCCAGCCTGTCAGTTCCTTCCAACCCAGCCAGCCCAGCAAGAAAGAAAGAAAGAAAGGAGAAGATCAAGAAAGAATGAATCTTGCCTACCGGAGTCTTGCCCTTGTTCAAGAGTGAAAGCAAGCCAGCCAATTCCGGTGATTGAGTTCAGGAGTTTAAAGTCGAGTAAATGAATTAGTACAGTGAAGGGAGAGCCCATTCATTGAATATGCTTTCCCTTGGTCAAGAATAGTTCAACCTGAGGGAAATGGCCTAAAAAATAGGGCGAGGTGAACAAGGAGTTAAGTCTCATTCATTCATTTACAGGCAGGCAGGAGAGGAAAAGAGTGAAAGAAGGTTCAGGGGCAGGGGTGAAGAAGCTCCACTAGAAGAGGCGCGAAGCGGCTCAACAGTAAAGGAGAGGAGAGGGGCGAAGCCACGAGACTGAGTTGGAGAGGTGAAGGCAATGGAGTTGAAGCTGCTTTACCTTGTTTACTGTGAAAGAATAACTCACAAAATCATCCTCCAGTTTACCTCCTAAAATAAGGGAAGGGAATAGAGGTAAGGGAGTGAAATCTGGTTTGTGAAGTAGTGATTTCGTTTACCGAGTGAAAGAGAAAGAATAAGGAACAATCACTGAAGGTAATACCAGGGAAGGAGAAGAGAAAGAATGAAGGCAATAGCGGGTCGGTCAGGAGTGAAAGCAAGCAAGAAAGCCAGCCAATTCCGTAAACTCTCTCTCTCTCATTCATCTTTCGTCTTGAAAAGCAGCTAATTCATTTCTGACTCTCCCCTCTTGAACTGTAAACTCTCATTCATCTTTCGTCTTTCCTCTCCCTTCCGGTCGAGCACTTCGTTCCTCTCCTGTCAGCTAACTCTTGAATTTCTTCTTTAACTGTAAAGAAAGGTTAGCTTTACCTCTTGTCTTGCTTGAGTCTTTCAAACACTTTCAGCTAACTCCTTCATTTCTTCTTTAACTGCTAACTCCTTCATTTCTTTTTGTTTCCTCTCCCTATCACTGTAAAGGAATAGAATATCTTCTTCGAATTCTTTCTCGTCAGGTTCAGGGGAAGGTTTTCTCTTGAGTCTTTCCTCTTCTTTCCTATATTATTGATGGATAGGCTGGCTGCACTCCCTTTGAGGTAAGAACAGTTCCTTTTGATTCAATTGCAAGAAAACAACCTCTTTTTAGAGTTTGATACGAAGACTAAGCCAAACAGTCTATTTATACATACGAATTCCTCAAAAATGAAAAAAAAGACTATCATTATATATGACAGAAGCATCACCATCACTCTGTCTGTAGGCTGTTGGATGCCCTTCTGCCTGGCAAGAAGATCATATCAAGAATAGCCAACTAGGAAAGCACAGTCAGACTAGTGCCACGCCCAAAGCACCAAGACTGCTTATTCCGCTAAAACAGTAAATAGACAAGACCTCTTATGCCGGAAAAGAAAGTCAAGTGCTAACGTGCAGCTCCCATTCCTACACCAAGAGAAAGCCTAAGAGAAGACCATGCTACTAGTCCTAGCTGGCACCGAAGCCAAGGGAAATTGAACAAGAGGAATGAAAGAAGAGCTTAGTTGTATTCAATGCGGGATGACCCAGCCTCCCAGATCCGCATCAGCGAGTGGTGTGACGATGACCAACTTGATTGAAAATAACGATTTGAATGTAATTGCCTCGGGAAAAGAGAGAACAAGAGGAACAGCTTTATCTGTTATATGAGAGGACGGCTACCACTTCCGTATTACCATTTATTTAGACAATCCCCAATCCTTACTAGACTAGATAGGGGTCAGGAGATTCTGATTAGTGTCAAATAGCCCTAGCCGCATTCACTCTCGGTGAAATAGCAGCTACGCCCCTTGGTCTTGAGCGTTTGAACGAATCCCAGTCTCTTGAGCTCTTTATGTATGGCAGCTAGTCTAGATCGATTCCTAATAGGATTGGAAAATCTTTCTTTGTTAAGACAGAGGAGAGATTGGAAATTCTAGAGAAAAGCAAGGTTTGTAACCCCCTAACCCAGACTAGGATGCGCCTTTCTCCCTAAGCCTAGAAGCAAGTCAAGCGGTAAGAAAACCCATATGCCTTGAGTGCGTCTTTTTTTTATGATCTCGTTTTCTCAGATAGGATAGGTCAGGGGCAGGTGTCTTCAAGATATCTGAGACTCTTTCTCATGTGGGTATGAGATATCTGGTATGCAATGCGAGATGCGCTTTCCGAACAGGCTACATTGCTTTATCTCTCTGTCCTTTCTTTTCATCCTCCCGGGCTGGGCTCTAGCATGTCCTGGGTCTGATCAGATCAACCAGCGACCAGTTTACAGAAAAAGGAGTGAAGCAAGGGGCAGGAGATTGATAGAAGAACCCGACCTAAGCTTGACTAAAAAGGGCTTGTCTTCAACTCCGGGGGTTGGCTGGTTGGAAGGGATTGCTTTATGCTGTCTGTTTTCCCTTCGAGATCTTCTCTTAGCAAAGTAGGTTCAAGTCACATTTTTGGCTTGCTACAAGCTAGGCTCAGGGACTGCAATTAGCCGCTTCCCCTGTAGTCGTCAGCTCGTTCTTGACAGATCCGATCGGGTGTTCATAATCTGGAGTAAAAGGATTCGAACCTTTGCATGCCGGTACCAAAAACCGATGCCTTACCACTTGGCTATACTCCATATGGCCTTGTTTTGGACGGTAGAAGGGAAGAGGGGGAAGGGAGAAGCAGGGCGAGACCGAAGGGAGAAGAGCCATGCAAGAACGCGGGAATATAGCAAGTAAGCAGCAAGATTCTCTCTTGTTTGTTGGACCGACTACAACAAGCTCGTGACTCTAATAGAAGAAACAGTAAGCTCTACTCTATTCTATTTGCTTGCAACAATGCTATACCTATCAAAGTTGGCGAACGCTTCTGTAACCTTAGACTCGTTACGTTGTTCGACTGAACTCGTTGGCTCTGCGTCCACCGAAAGTAGGTTACCTTCGTCACTGTCAGCATTTGGTACTCTCTCGATAACTTCTCTCGTTCACTTCAAGCCTTTGGTGGAATGATGACCTGTAAGCCCTGAAGAAAGAAAAACATCAAAAAAAGAAATGGTTGCGGGAAACGACGTTCCCTTTGTAAGAACATTGTTTGAGATTCGAATTACCTTGTTGATCGAATATCTCAAGGCAAGAACATTGTTTGAGATTCGAATCACTCCACAAGCAAGATCGATCATGTCTAGCTTGAATGATTCTTGTTGATCAAATATCTCAAACACTTGTTTGAGATTCGAATCACTCCACAAGCAAGATTGATCATGTCGAGCTTGAATGATTCTATATGCAACCTAAACTACATAGAATTGCAAAGAAACTTAGCCATTGGCTAAAGAAGAGCACAAATGCTTCTTTTACTACATTTTCCAAGTCTCTTACAAATACAACATACATGGCTTTATATAGCCTCAAAATGAAACTACTAGGCATTCCAAGAATTGTAACATTCATACTTAATGGTCATAATTAACCATTATGTAATTGTAACCTAAAGTAAATAAAAAGTCCTAAAAACTCTAAATTGTAACCCACCCAAAATTTATAACAATCAAACTTCACTCTTCTTCAATATGGCATGCATTGAAACATCTTTTGATAATTTTGACAACTTTTTATTCACATCGTCATTGAAGTATATTGTATGATTGACGTTTTTTGGTTCATATCAAAGAGTGCCCTTGAACTACAAATCAATCATAATACACAATACAAAAAAAGAAATCGATTCTCGACGAGAAAGAAAAAAGGGGGGAGGGGAAGAGGAGATTCAGGATAGTCACTCCACTCCATATCTCGGGAACACAGATTCTTCTTTCATTTGCAATTCCTTTCTTGAGTGCGTCTTTGATGATCTCTTTTCTTAGATAGGACAGGGCAGGGGAAGGGAGAAGGGCTTCTTCTACTTTACAACCGGAATAAGGAACCTTAGAATGAACCCTACCTGCTGTCGATCAAAAAAGAAATGGGATTGGAGAGGTGAATGAGTAAGTAGGGAGAGGAGAAAGAGAAGAGAAAGAATAAAACACCTATGTTACCTTGTTCAAGAATAGTGAAACCCTAGTGAAATGAACGAAAAACTAGGGAGAGGACAGAAGGATCATTCTTCTTTCTTTCGTCTTGACTGACTGTTCTTTCTCATTAATCTTGAGTTGAGTCTTTGACAAGGGAGAGGAAATGAATTAGATTAGCTGCTTTACCTCAATAAATGACCTCAAACATAGGGAGAGGAGTGAAAGAAGGGTCCAGTTCAGGATTGAATTAATTTACTCAATTGTAAAGGACAGGTGATTGAGCAAAGCAGCTTTACCTAGTTCAATCAGGGAATAAATAAAAGAAAGCTAGCTCGGCTAAGACATATAAAAGAAAGCTAGCTCGCCTAAGACAGAGAGGAGCGGAGCAACGAGACCATACATAAGCTTTACCTATTTACCGAGTGAAAGAAGGGACAAGACAATTTCAGAAGTTTCTTTCATTTTCTCTCCTATCAAGGTTCTTCAAATAGCTTTACCTCCTCAGGGCAGGGAATAGAGGAAAAGAGTGTTTGAATCATCCTATAGTTTACCGAGTGAAAGAATAGTTAAAGAATAAAGAGGAGCGAGCGCAGCAATGAGACCGTCAAATAGCTTTACCTATTTCCTTCCCTTGTGTTTGATTGAAATTACCCTAAAAATAGGGAGAGGACAATCAGTTTACAGTTAGGTTCCGGCTCAGGAGAAAGAATATGTATGCTTTCTTTACCCAGTTTCATCAAGGGAAGTAGTTCAGGAAATAGAGGTTTAGTCGCTTGCTGATATTTCTTTCATTCTCTTTTCATTCATTTACTATGAAAGAAGGGAAGGGAATAGAGTAGAGGTGAAGGATCAAGAACCAACCAAACACCACCCATTCTATTTACCGAGTGAAAGAATGAATAAAGAGGGGTGAAGCAACGAGACCGATAGGGAGAAGAGCCAAGCCGAGGTTCAGGTTTCTTCTTTTCTGACAGATCCGGTGAAGGAGTGAACTCGAATCAATCAAGAGTCTTTACAGGAGATTTCTCTTTCATTTTCTTAGTTTACAATGAAAGAAGAAGAGAAAGAAAGAAGAAAAACTCAATTCAGAGAATAAGGAGCACACAGAACAGACCGAGTGTAAGAAAAGATCAGTGAAAGAATAAATCAAATAGGTGGAAAAGGAGAATGAGTGAAAGAAGGTTCAGGAGAACAGACAGAGTTGGATAGGACATAAGTAACCTATTTACCTAGTTCAATCTGTCAAAGGTGAATGAGTAAGTTAAGTAGGCAGAGGAGAAAGATCCGTGAATAAATAGGTGAAGGAGAGAAGCCGAGTCTTTGAATAATCTTTCCCTCGCTCAATCAGTAAAAGAGTTCCATCAGGGACAAGTTCAGGAGTGAAGGATAATTCTAGTTGAGTCTTGACTTTCAACACTTTCTTTTACCTTGTTCAATTAGGTTCGTTCATGAGGTTACAGTAAAAGAAGGGACAAGTTCAGGAGTGAAATTAAGGAGAGGTGAACAATCGCTACAAAGAAAAAGGGAGAGGACAATGAGACCATACAGAATAGGAAAAGTAGCTCTTTGTCGGTTTCTTCTTCTTTTCCAGTTCAGCGCGAGTCAAAGAGTGAAATCAAGGCTAAGACAGAGAGGAGGTAGAGGTAACCAACCTTTGATGGAGTGAAATCAGGGACGGACAGTAAATTCATTAGCGGCTTTCTTTCCCTTGGTTAGTGTGTTTGATTTCTCCTAAATGCAATAATTGCACACTTTGACGTATAATTAGATTCTCAGATCAAATCTTGACTTCCTTAATGAAAGAAGAGATGAGAGACCGGCCAATAAATATAATAGGTTCAGGAGAGAGAGGGGAAGGATCGATCATTAATCAGGGAATAAGGTAATCAAAGCCTATTTACCTTATGTTTAAAGGGACAAGTTCAATAGCTCAGTTCGTAAACAAGAATGAATCGAGTCTTTCCTTCCGAATTACCGAGTCTTTGAATAAGATGGAGCCGGAGTGAAGTTCGTTCAGTTTCATTCATTTGGCTTGATTCTTTCACTATAAAGGCTATTAGGATAGGGTCTGGAGTGATAATGAATGTTGAGGATTGACTTCCTAATTACCTCGGTCAATAAAAGAACTACTTCATGAACCGAGGTTACAGTCTTTGAATAAATAGGTAAAGGAGAATGCATCTTGAGTTGAGTCTTTGTTTACAGTTCTGGATTGAATACTCGAGAAGAGAACGAATGAATTTCATATGCTTTGTTTACTGTGAAAGAATAACTCACAAGATAAGGATTTAGAGAAGAGTCAGAAGGGGAAGGAGTTCATTCATTTAGCTTTACCTCGAGTGAGTGAAAAAATAGTTCAATCAAGGATCAGAGAAAGAATGAATCTTGAGTCTTACTTTCGTTGAGACGTAGTTTACTGTTCAAGCAATCAGTTTCAGGAGAATGCATATATTGTTGAGTTTCGTCTTAAGTTTACTATCTTTGAAGGAATAAATAGGGAGAGGACAGAAGGATCATTCTTGTTGAGTCTTGACTTCTAGGTTCAAGAGTGAAATGACAAAATAAATAGGGAGGGGAGAAAGTGCAGTGAAAGAATCCATAGGTTCAGGTTCAGTAGTGATTTAGTTTACCTCGTTCAATCAATCAAAGGGAAAGGGTTGAGTCTTGCTTGACTTCCTGTTCCGGATCATTCATCCTTCTTACAGGTAGGAGAGTCAAAGAGTTTAGGTTCAGTAGTTTACTCTCATTCTTGGTGAGTCTTGACTTGTTTATTACGAGGTTCATGATAAAAACCCAAAGAAAGCTAGCTAAGGAGCGGCGAAGCAGACTGATAGATAGTTTACGCGCGAGGTGAGGGATAATCTTGAGTATTGATCTTTTACAGTGTTCATTCATAAATAGGAAAAGGAGTGAAGTGAAAGAAGGAACAAGAGTTTACAGTGAATCAATCAATAGGTTCCGGAGTTAAGGATAATTCTGCTTGAGTTCAGTCTTAGTTTACATACAGTGAAAGAATCAATCAATAGGGAGAGGAGTGTAAGAAGGATTGAAGGAGAGAAGCTGATAGTTTACGAGGTTCAGGTTCAGTAGTTCAGTTTCATTCTTCTTTCGGTTTTGTTTATAGTTCAGGGAGGGAAAGTCAAACAAAGAGTTCCATTTGGAAAAGGAGTTAAGGAGAATTGAGTATTGATCTTTTACGGTACAGTGTGAATAAATAGGTTAAGGGGAAGGATCCGAGAAAGAATAGTCTTTTCCTTGTTCCATCTGTCAAAGGGTGTCGGGTGTCGGTTGAGGCTTCCTTTCTTACAGGGAAATCAGAGACAAGTGATTGAGTTTACCGTACTATGAAAGAAGGAATCGGAGAATGCTTTCGGCTTTACAGGCAGGAGAGTAAGTTAAAGAAGGGAGAGGCGAAGGAGCAGAGCAATGAGACCGCTAGGCTCAGGAGCTTGACCTTCTTCTTTTCTTACATGCAGGATAGTCAAAGAGTTCCAGAAGAGAGAGGAGTGAAAGAGTTTACCGAGTCCGAGTTTACTGTTCAATCTGGCAAGACAATAGGGGAAAAGGAGTTCCATTAGTCTCATTCATAAGCAGAGTCTTTACAATCGAGGAAGTGAATTAGCTGCAGCGAGACGAGGAGTGAAAGAAGGAAAAGGGTTGAGGTTCAGAAGTAGGTCAGGCAGGGTATAGAGTATAAGGAGTTATAAGGAGTTAAATCAGGTTAATCAGTATTAGTACTGTTCTCTCTAATAAGAAGTTTCGGCTTTACCTTGGTTCTAGTCGAGTAAATGAATTGAATATGTATGCTTTACCTTGTGTTTGAAGGAATAAATAGGAAGAGCGTATAGGGACAAGAAGTGATTAAGTTCCATTCGTCAACTCTCTTTCGGCCCTTGCTTACTGTGTTTGAATAACTCACCTTAACAATCACAGATTCTAATATATAGAAGAGGTTCATGAGTTTGGTTTCTTCTTCGTTTACTAGGAACAGAATAAATAGGTGAATCAGTCAGGAGTTTACCAAGTTGTAGAGGTTCAAAAGAATGAATAAGGAGTCTCCCTAAAAGAAGAAAATCAATAGGAATCGAAAAGAAAAGAAAAGAGAACGAGTGAAAGAGGTCAATCAGGTTACGGAGAAAGAATATGCTTTACCTTACCTTGTGAAAGAATAACTTGCAACACAATCACTGCCTTCTAAGTAACTAACAATAAGAAGAATTAAGGAGAAAGATTAGAGCTCAGATTCCCTACTACAGGTCAAGAAGGGAAAGAACAGAGAAGATACCGTAAATAAAGGATAGGTTGGTTTGTTCAGGGGCCAGGATCAAGAATCAATCAATAGGTTACGACGGAGTGAAGGAGAATGAGTGTTAAGGCTTCCTTTCTTACAGTGAAATTCGGGACAAGTGATTGAGTTTCGTCTCTAGAATCTATCTTGAGTTGAGTGTTTACTGGTCAATCTGGGAATAGAGTAGAGTATAAGGTTCCAGATTGAATGAATTTCCTCCCCAGTAAAGGAATGAATATCTGATTCTTCTTCTTTCTATCCTCTTCCGTCTCTAGAATCTTTCGTTGAGTCTTCCAAAGCTAAAGCTGCTAACTCCTTTATTTATTCAGAGACTGTAAACAACTATCATTCATCTTTAGTCTATCCTCTCCCTTCTTTCAAACAAAGTCTGTACGGATAGTTAGGTTGAGTCTTTCAAAGCTGCTACTGCTAATTCATTTATTTAATATCCCTTCTAGAACTGTATAGGTTCCGGTTCAGGTTCTTCTTCTAGCTTGACCTCCAGAAAAAGGTGAGGGAATAATAGAGGGGCAGGTTTAGGGTTAGTTAAGGTTGAGTCTTAGTTTACAGACAGTGAAAGAAAGGAGAATCGTCCTGTTTACCAAGTTCAATCTGTCTGATTCATCTTTCTTCTGAAGGAAAAGGAGCCAAGCTGCTCAACCGTAAAGTAACAGAAGATGCTTTAACCTATTTATTACCGAGTGCAAAGAAGAAAGAGGAGAAGAGCACTCTCTTCCATCCTTTCATTTGTTTACAGTCGAGTAAAAGAGTGAATGAAAGAATCATCCTCCTCTCCTGTTTCCCGCCTTCAATGAGGTTCAGGAATCTTCAGTCTTTGTTTACAGTTAATAACGAACCATACAGGTAATGTAATATCGATCGGAAAAGCAGAATGAGTAAGTTAAGTAGTGAGAGGAGAAAGATCAGTTCACTCTAACGAATAAGGAGAGTTGAGTCTTGAAAGCAAGCGGAATATCATACAAAGGAAAGAACAGAGAAAGAGAAAGAAGTAGTTCACCCCTTCAGCCAGCGAGTAAATTAATTAGCAGCTTGACCTCCGAATTAAAGAGTGAAATCAGTCATAAGGGTGTCGGTTTCGTCTTGACTTCCTGGCGAAGTCTCATCAAATAAAGGGTGAGGAGAATACTGATTATCTATTTACCTTGTGAAAAGAAGGGACAAGTGATTGGGTTCAGGGGAAGAAGGGGGTTTGTTTCTCTTGAGTCTGTCCTTCTAAATTGAATTACCTCGTTACATCGGGTTCAGTAGTGAAGGAGCTGATCCTCCAGGTTTCCTTTAGTCTTTACAGTCTTATAAATTAACAAGAATTGACGGTTATAATAGAGTCAAGAAAAGGCGAAGGAGCCCTTAAGAAGAAATCGGAAAGAACCAAGCAAGCAGTTTATAGAGTTAGAGCCGAAGGGGAGCCAAGCTGAGGTTATTTAGTTATTGAGTTTATCGAGTGAAAGAAGAAATAGGTGCACCAACAAAGCAACTCAATGAGAAGAGAAGTGAAGGATCAAGAATATTGAGTCTTGACTTACAGTGAGAATGAATCTTGCTTGAGGCTTTCCCTTGGTTACTTTTAATAACTCACAGTAACGGAAGGGAAGGAATAGTAAAAAAAAGATAAGGGGAAGGAGCGAAGCAGCTAGTAGGTTCAGGAGCTAAGCCACTTTAAAGAATAGGAACAAAGAGGAGAAGGAATCGATAGTCTTTCCTCTCCCTTCAATCAAACAAAGACTGTATAGGGTCGATTCAGGTTCCTTCATTCATTTACTTACTCTCCTTCCTGAAAAACAGCTAATTCATCTTGAGTTCAGTCTTCACTTTCTGAATAAGGATCAAGATCAGAGAAAGAAGGTGAAGGAAGTAGTTCAGGCAATGAATGGGTTCAAACGATAGAATAAAAAGAGGGAGGAGTGAAGCAGTTTAAGAAGGTGTAGGGGCAGGTGTAGGTCAGGTCATATCGGTTTAGGTTCAGTCGCTTCTCTTTCTTGACTTTCTCTTTTACCCCGACTGTAAATGAACATGAACTGAAGGTCATATCGGGGAAGTAGTTCAAGAGAATGCGCTTCTCTTTCTTGACTTGACTTTGTTGAGTCTTTCAAGCGAGTTAAAGAATCAATTGGAAAAGGGGCAAAGCCATTGGACCGAGTTCAATCAGCCGAAGGGTTACGATCATTTGTATAAGGAAGCAGCTTTACCCACTGGTTCAGGATCATTAATCTTTCGTCTTTCAAGCAGAAAAAGAAGAAGAAGAACAACAAAGAACGGACTAAAGCCTCAAAAATAAATGAGATAGTTCCACCCCAGTCTTTGAATAAATAGGTGAAGGAGGGAACGAGAACTCTCATTAATCTTTCTCTTTCGTCTTGACTTCTGAATTATCGAGTGAAAGAGTGAAATATGTCTCATTCATCTTCTCTTGCTTTCTTTCGTCTTGACTTTCGAATTACCTTGTTCAATCAGGGAGAGTCAATTCAATCCTCAGCTGCTTTACCTCTGAGCAAGTTCAAGAATCATCCTCCTGTTTACCTCGTTCAATCAGAGTCCAATGCAGGGTTGGTTACTCTCAGAGCTTCTCTTTATCTCACTGTAAACTCTCTTTCTTTCATTCTCTGATTCATTCATTCACTCTCATTAATGTTGAGTCTTGCTTGAGTCTTTCCTCATTACCTTGGTCAATCAAAGAGCTATTCTATTCATTCTATTTACCTCCTCATAAAAAAGAAGGTGAATGAGCGAAGCAACTTGACCATAACAAATAGGTGAATGAGCTTGAGCTTCTCCTTCTTGACTTTTTCTTAGTGCTTGCTTTGTCGAGTGAATAAATAGGTGGGTGGGAGTTCTGTCTCATTAATCTTCTTCTCGAACATCCTTTCATTTGTGTACACTCGAGTAAAAGAGTGAAAGAAAGAATCATCCTCCATCCCTTCAGCTGAGTAAATGAATTAGTGGCTTTACCTCCTGATCGAAAGAAGTGAGAGGAAAGAAAAGGTGTAGGTCATGGAACAGAGTCAAAGGTGAATGAGTTCAATCAGGTTCTGGCAATGGAATGGAAGTTTACCTCGTGTAGGAATAGTGAAAGAGTGAAAGAGGGTGAAGGTTCAGGAGTTTACAAGAGAGAGAGTCAATTCAAAAAGATAAAGGAGTGAGGGAGCGGGAGTGAAGGAGCTTGCCCTTCTTCTTTTCTTACTTTACTTACTGTTCAATCTGTCACATGAATCGAGAGTTGAGGATTGACTGACTGTTCATAATCACTAACAGGAATAGAGGTGAAGGAGAAGAGAAAGAATAGTTCCACCCTTGCTCGGGAAATGAAAGAAACAATAGGCAGAGGTGAATGAGTTTACAGTTCAATCTGTCNAGGCTTCGTTCTCTGATCTCCTTGATTGATGAACTAACTCGCTCTGATCCTTGATTTCACTCTTTGTTTTACTACTCTCCTGCCCGCTGTAAAGACTTAGGATTCATTCCCCTATTCCTTCTGCTCACAAAGGATATTCTTCCTAAGGCTTTTATTCCGAACTTTTCGCTCGGGAAATGAAAGAAACAATAGGCAGAGGTGAATGAGTTTACAGTTCAATCTGTCTCATGAATAAGGAGTGGTTATAGGAGAGTCAAAGAGTGAAAGGTGAACAATCACTGACTGTTCAGTCTCATTCTTCTTGAGTCTTGACTGATTGTGAAGGATCATTTTGTCTTGCTTTCTTTTACTCTTGCTTGAAGGATTGGATAGAACAGAATCGGATTCGTCTTTCCCGTTCTTCTGTCCAAAGGGAGGTTTTTTTTAACAGCTGTGTACCAAAGGATTTGATTTGCATTTGTCAACCCGGGACGAAAACAGGATAGCCGACTGATCTTNTCACTGACTGTTCAGTCTCATTCTTCTTGAGTCTTGACTGATTGTGAAGGATCATTTTGTCTTGCTTTCTTTTACTCTTGCTTGAAGGATTGAATGAATGGACTCTCCTGTCAGCTAATTCATCTTTCATTTGATTCCCCCTGAACTGTAAAGTCTCATTCATCTTTCATTCTCTGATTCTGAATGAATAATAGGGAGAGGGAATAGAGGTTCGTTCAGTAGTTCTGTCTCATTCTTCTTCTTCCGGTTCAGTAGCTGATCTTTCTTTCATTCTCTGATTCTTCTTCTGGTTCAGTAGTTCAGTTTCTTTCCTCTCCCTTCTACAGTTACAGTCGGTAAAAGAAAAAGATCAATACTCCTTATTTATTAATTAATTATCCTTCACCTATTTATTCTTTCACTGTAAACTCGGTTCATTCAGTAGCTCTTTGATTGAATTTGATTCTGCTTGAAAGACGAAACAAATGAAAGAAAGAGAAGCTCATTCACCTGAACCTGCCCCTGAACCAACAATTCTGTTTCGATCGAACCCCCTTTCTCTAATAAGTCGGAGGTCTTCGTAAACATGTTAAAGGGCTAATCTTATCCCCGCAAGTGAGATGAGGGTACTCTACTCGTTTGAACTCTACATGTGAGGCCTTCTCTCTCTTTCTTCTGACCGTCATCAGTCTTTTCTTCTTTATCAGGAAGAGATTGCAGCAAGAATTGAAGAAGAAGAAGAATGCAGCTAAACCTCCCAATCCAAGAGCCATCTCTACTGCCTTTTTTCTTCTTTCATGAGGATCAAAGGGAAAGGGGTAATCCTATCTGCTTTCATCCATCCTCAGAATAGCACAAAAAAGAGTCCCCTTCTTGGTATCCATAGGAATCACCGAGAGAAGAAACCCAAAGGTCTTGAATTGCCACCAATCAACAATGTTCACTGTTGAGCCCTGTCCGTTAGAGGCAGAGAAACCAACATGCATTCAATCTTGAAATTGCTTGGAGAGGTAAATTGGGGAAGAAGAGGACTTGTAGGCCTAATCGGCGAGTACCCGATTCACACCCGGATCATTTTCATTGCATCTCTGTACTCAATCCAAACCGTTATCTGTCTACCACTGGTCAAATCAATCCCCCTTTCAACAACATTAACGGAAGCCAAAGATACTCGCTTATATACCTAGATGATTTCCATTGATGTCAACAAGCGAAGGGTCAAACTGGTATCAAATTCCACAGCGATGAATGAATCTTCCCCATCCCATCTAAGGACAGTTCTGGGAGACCCATATACCCGGGAAAGAATCCGCATTAGAGGTGATCAGAAAGGCAATCCCATCTACAGAAGGACACAGTGGGGAAGATAGTTTTGAGAAGGAGAAACGGCATGAGAAAGATGCGGTGGAGTTCGTCTCGGAATCAAGAAACCGAATAGGGTAGACATAAAAAGCTCTGCCCACGCCTGAAGCAGAGGAAGAAGAAGAAGAGAGGGACTGATTGAGTGAGACTAATGGCTTTCTTTCTGAAGTAAGCATCACCAAAGAGGGTGACATTCTTTGCAGGCAAGAAAGGTGTACAAAGCGTGGGAATACTGAAGATGAAAAAGAAAAAGAAATGGCTCCGGAAGAGTCAAACAGCAGGAGAATGCATTATAGAGTCACAAATAGGAAAGATCACTGGGTAGAGACTACGAATTAGACAAAGAGAGCTCCTTCGGCTGAGAAATTTGTAGAAGATCAAGAGTCAAGAGATTTTATCGCCTCTTTGATTGGGTCAATCTTCTTTCTCTTGGAAGTTTAACAGCTTGTTTCCATATGGCCTCCTCGTTTTGAGACATTATCACTTTGGAGTGGTTTATCCGTGGACACCCCTAGGCTCTGCTCTCGCTTGCTTTCATGTACACGTCTTACCTCTTCCCTACAACCCATGACATACCCTGCTTTCTATGCCATGCTTCCTCCAATACTGGAACAGGGCCTTTCCTTTACTTTAAGCTTAGGCTGACCTGCTTCCGTAGCTGTCCTTCCTTTCCTCATTGCCACTGGACTCGGGCAAAAAACTAGATTTCCGAACCTTTCTTTCCCACCCCATTCAATGGAGGGCTGTAACTGAAGCAAGCACTTGGCTTTAGAGCCCTATCACGTAAGGGAGAAGAAAGACTGAATGTGTGAAGCGGGGGGTCAGAAGGGAACTTCTCCCCCTGTCTGTCATCTGCGATCAATGCACTCAATTTATCTTGATTTGGGCAGTCACGGGCGGGCTCTTTGAGGTCCTCCACAAATGAAACAACCGCAACCCTTCTTCTTTGTTAGGTTTACCAGGCTTGTTCCCAGCTCTTTGGTAGCATGTTCTTCCCCTTTCTTTTGCTCTCCACTCCCCCCGTCTTGTTGCCTCGAAGAGGTTTCCCCTTTGTTTGTGCGAATGAGTAGGTTTTTCCATGTCATCTACCATTCTTTCTGCAGCAATGATCGCTTCAGCCAAATCCGGTACATTTTGCCAACGAAGTTCTTGTCTAGCCCAAGGATGAAGACCGTTCGGGAAGAAAGCCTTCCTTCCCTGATTTAAGGCTTTAAGGCTGCAAACACTGAACTCTCTTTTCCCTCTTCAGGCACTAGTCTCCGCCTCAACGGATCTCCGACAACTCAACCTCGACTCCTGAATGGTGGCTTAAGGAAGCAAGGAGGCTCGCGGAACACAGTAAGATAATGCGACAGATAGCTAGACATACAACAGGAAAACTAAACTAAGAAGATGGATAGACGGTTGTGAGAAGAGATCACTACTCTACGCTGCTATACAGACCACAAGAACAACAGCTACTGCGCTACGCTCATTCCTAATCGATTTGTACCATACCAAAATGCAAGGAGGATGTATAGCTGATTGACTTAGAATACCAAAAGAAGAAGGAGCTGAAAAGCTTTTAGTGGAGGAGGAGGACCCGTAGTCCTCTTGATATATACGCATCGCATGGGGCTCCCTCAGAACTACCTACCTCCGAAAGAATACATGACGAAGTCAACTACCCCTCACTACAACATAGTTGCTACAACATTACATGGTAGTTGGTACTCCCGGAACGGTCCGGGCCTTCCTCTATTCGCTTTGCTCATAGCGGACCGGTATTGAACAAGTGAAAAACAAGGAAAGCCTCTTAGCAATACAGCGCAGCGCCTACTTGCTAACAGCTTTCGGGCCTACTGTCCTACGTATGCTTCCCTCTCCTTTACAGTCTCGCATATTCAATCCTCTCCCGCTCTTCAAGCCTAAAAGCGCTCTCGGAATTAAGCACCTTTCCAATGCCTAATGCAGCTCTAGCTGATGCGATAGTTGCAGCTCCTTAATGCACTACCCTGACTTGGCACTTGACTTAACTAACCTGCCTTCGAGACAGAGTGATGGTGCCCCCCCTCATGAGCAGCCCTTACCTGCCTTGAACTACAGGAGCGGCATACACACATATGTAAATCAGGCCTTTTCTCGAGAGTGATTCTAGGCCTTAGTCAAAGAATTTACTAAATACTAGAGTGCTGCTACAGGGAATGCTACCTTGACCCTGCTATGCTACTTCTAACGCTCGAACTGTCCTCGCTCCTCTCCTCTTGCCAATCCTTATCAATTCTGATTCTTTCTTTCTCCTTATCTTCTTCTTTTTCTATTGATTCTCAATTCTTCTTCTTTCATTTTCGCCTTGACTTTCGATTTGGAAATGCAAATTCAGTAAATTCCTTGAGAGCTGCTCCTGGACTGATTGAACTCGGTAAAGCAAGCACTAAGAAAAAGTCAGTTCTTGAACGAGGTAAAGCTGCTTCTCTCCTGAACCTCGGTAAAGCTGCTTCTTTCCTCTCCCAGGTCATCATAAGAAACCCCCATTTTTCCGAAGCACTATCTGTCCCTTTCTGCGTCTATATTAGTTTAGGTCTAACGAGATCAACAAAATTCTTAACGAACTAGTTTCATCACATAATTGTTATCTAGTCCTATTTTCTTTTTCAAATCCAACCTTATTCTACTGTATCTACCCCAGAAAACCCTCGATCTCCAAGCCCCTTGTATAGGTGGTTGGGCAAGTTTGGATGCCCCTACTCCCAACAAGTTTATGGTCGGGATCGTGGAACTCTCGCTCGAGAAGTAAGTAAGCTGGTCCTTGTTTGGTCATAAGGATAATGGTTCTTATTAGGTCAGGGGCAGCCGGCCCGGGGGTTACCCGCGATTGGTAATGGCATAACCAGAAGNCCTCGACAAATGAAACAACCGCAACCCTTCTTCTTTGTTAAGTTTACCAGGCTTGTTCCCAGCTCTTTGGTAGCATGTTCTTCCCCTTTCTTTTGCTCTCCACTCCCCCCGTCTTGTTGCCTCTAAGAGGTTTCCCCTTTGTTTGTGCGAATGAGGAGGTTTTTCCATGTCATCTACCATTCTTTCTGCAGCAATGATCGCTTCAGCCAAATCCGGTACATTTTGCCAATGAAGTTCTTGTCTAGCCCAAGGATGAAGACCGTTCGGGAAGAAAGCCTTCCTTCCCTGATTTAAGGCTTTAAGGCTGAAAACACTTAACTCTCTCTTCCCTCTTCAGGCACTAGTCTCCGCCTCAACGGATTTCCGATAACTCAACCTCAACTCCTGAATGGTGGCTTAAGGAAGCAAGGAGGCTCGCGGAACACAGTAAGATAATGTATCAGATAGCTAGACATACAACAGGAAAACTAAACTAAGAAGATGGATAGACGGTTATGAGAAGAGATCACTACTCTACGCTGCTATACAGACCATAAGAACAACAGCTATTGCACTATGCTCATTCCTAATCGATTTGTTCTATACCAAAATGCAAGGAGGATGTATAACTGATTGACTTAGAATACCAAAAGAAGAAGGAGCTGAAAAGCTTTTAGTGGAGGAGGAGCACCCGTAGTCCTCTTGATATATACGCATCGCATGGGGCTCCCTTAGAACTACCTACCTCTGAAAGAATACATGACGAAGTCAACTACCCCTCACTACAACATAGTTGCTACAACATTACATGGTAGTTGGTACTCCCAGAACGGTCCGGGCCTTCCTCCATTCGCTTTGCTCATAGTGGACCGGTATTGAACAAGTGAAAAACAAGGAAAGCCTCTTAGCAATACAGCGCAGCGCTTACTTGCTAACAGCTTTCGGGCCTACTGTCCTACGTATGCTTCCCTCTCCTTTACAGTCAAGCGTATTCAATCCTCTCCCGCTCTATAAGCCTAAAAGCGCTCTCAGAATTAAGCACCTTTCCAATGCCTAATGCAGCTCTAGCTAATGCGATAGTTGCAGCTCCTTAATGCACTACCCTGACTTGGCACTTGACTTAACTAACCTGCCTTCGAGACATAGTGATGGTGCCCCCCCTCATGAGCATCCCTTACCTGCCTTGAACTACAGGAGCGGCATACACATATATGTAAATCAGGCCTTTTCTCGAGAGTGATTCTAGGCCTTAGTCAAAGAATTTACTAAATACTAGAGAGCTGCTACAAGGAATGCTACCTTGACCCTGCTATGCTACTTCTAACGCTCGAACTGTCCTCGCTCCTCTCCTCTTGCCTATCCTTATCAATTCTGATTCTTTCTTTCTCCTTATCTGATTCTTTTTCTATTGATTCTCAATTCTTCTTCTTTCATTTTCGCCTTGACTTGAGATTTTGAAATGAAAATTCAGTAAATTCCTTGAGAGCTGCTCCTGGACTGATTTAACTCGGTAAAGCAAGCACTAAGAAAAAGTCAGTTCTTGAACGAGGTAAAGCTGTTTCTCTCCTGAACCTCGGTAAAGCTGCTTCTTTCCTCTCCCAGGTCATCATAAGAAACCCCCATTTTTCCGAAGCACTATCTGTCCCTTTCTGTGTCTATATTAGTTTAGGTCTAACGAGATCAACAAAATTCTTAACAAACTAGTTTCATCACATAATTGTTATCTAGTCCTATTTTCTTTTTCAAATCCAACCTTATTCTACTGTATCTACCCCAGAAAACCCTCGATCTCCAAGCCCCTTGTATAGGTGGTTGGGCAAGTTTGGATGCCCCTACTCCCAACAAGTTTATGATTGGGATTGTGGAACTCTCGCTCAAGAAGTAAGTAAGATGGTCCTTGTTTGGTCATAAGAATAATGGTTCTTATTAGGTCAGGGGCAGCCGGCCCAGGGGTTACCCGCGATTGGTAATGGCATAACCAGAAGAGGGGTAGGGGAAAGAAGGTTACGCGCTGGTTAGCGCAGCGCATCTGTTTCGGGTACAGAGGCCACGAGGGGTGCTAACCCGGCCGCCCAACCCAGCAGGTCAAGGGCTGGCCGGCCATAGGTTCGAATCCTGCCACCTTTCTTGTGGATCATCCTGTGGTTACCGGATGATGGGAATAAGAAAGCATAAATTAGGAAATGAGCACGAAATGTCAATATATGAATTGTTTCATTATTCGTTATTTCCCGATCTTTTCGTTGCATTCACTTACAACAAGAAAGAACCACCAACGTTTGGTGCAGCACCTGCATTTTGGTGTATTCTTCTTTCTTCCTTTGGTCTTTCGTTCCTTCATATTCCTAATAACTTATCCAATTACAACGTATTAACCGCGAATGCACCTTTCTTTTATCAAATCTCAGGGACATGGTCTAATCATGAGGGTAGTATTTTATCATGGTGTCGGATCCCAAGTTTTTATGGATTCCTTCTTTGTTATCGGGGTCGACCCCAAAGCCATAATGTCTCAAAACGAGGAGGCCATAGAGAAACTCTTTTTTATTCCTTTCTTTCGAACTTTGTGAAGAACCCCATTCGAGATCTCCCTTGTTACGAACATCAAAGTGGGGTTGCGCCCCTATTGTGCACTCCCTTCGTTCTACGAACCCTTGTTGATTCTGAACTTCGTTCACGGAGGAAAGGTGCGAAGCTGCGAGATTGGAAAGTAAAGGCAAAGGCAAAGGAACAAATAGAATATGCGAGAACGAGTGAAAGAAGAATTGAATATGCTTTACCTTGTGATAGAAGGTGATTGAGCTTCTCTTTCTCTTTGTTTACAGGATTGAATATGAATTGACTTGACTGATTTTGTTTAGGTTCAGGAAGAAGACGAGTTGGAGAGGTTCAGGATTTCATTCATTTAGCTTTACCTCGAAAACCAGGAAAAGGTTTGAGGTTGAGTCTTGAAAAGCAGCTCATTGATTCTTTCACTGTAAAGGAGAATGAATCTTGAGTCTTGACTTCCTGTTCTGGATTGAATGAATAAGGTAAATAGGGTCAGGTCATAGAGGTTCAGGTTTAGGGTTTCGGTTTAGTCTTTGTTTACAGTTCCAGAAGGTGAAGGAGAGAAGCCGAGGTTCAGTCTCATTAATGTTGAATTAGATTCTTCAATAATTAATTCTCTTTTCTTTGATTTACTCTCCCTTCACAGTCAAGGATAGGTGTAGGAGTTCCGGATCATTAATAGAAGTAGCGAGACTGTAAAGAAAGGAGTGGGGCGGCGAAGCAGCTCGACGAGAAGAGGCGCGAAGCGGCTCGACTGTAAAGGAGAGGAATTCTCATCATTTTCTTAGGTTTGAGAATAGGAATCTATTTGATGAAAGAATCTGGCTTTCATGCTTGACTCAAGTCTTGATTGAGCAGTCATTTTTTGTAGTTACCCAAAAAAAAGCATTGAGACTGAGAAGGAGCCAGCTTCCGTGGAACATTCAAACTTTCTCAGCCTTTCTTTTTTGCATAATCTCTCTACCCATTCACTTGAGTGAGACAAAAGAGAGTGGAATTTCGTGAAGCTCGCGGCAGACTTTTCACAAGCTC